AATATCCTTCACTTTCAATACAAAAATTCTTTTAAATAGAATGTGTATTTTAATTTCTATTTTTTGGCTATCGTGTGATGAAAAACAGCCTAAAAAGTCAGTTTCAATAGCAAATAATAACTAAAAGGAGTATTATAAAAAGAATATATTGATTATTCGTTCAACCTGATTTGATGAGAATTGGTTTTAATAAGCTCGATTATAATTGTGAAGATTTGCTTCGAAATAAATTCTCTAAAAAAGTTATCAAACTGATAAATTTAAATAAGATAGCAAATTTCATTGAGATTAAAATTGAACTATCAACTCTATTTATTATTGTAAAAATAATAATGAAAACAAAAGAACAATATCATACCTAAGGATTATCATATAATTGAGGGATGATAATACTTTAAAGATATATGATGAAATTAACAAAAATACAAATATCTAAAAAATTAAAAAAACCTGAAAGATCAAGCAAATTGGATAGAATATATTATAGTAGAATCAAAATTAAAATAAAGGAATGTTTAAATAAATATATATTAAAGTCATAAATATTTTAATACAGTTTGAATTTATATCAGGATTTCATAATTATTCACTATGGCACCATAATAAAAATTAAGGTCTCTCCTATCTTGACATTACCTAGATTTTGAATTTTGTCAGGCTTAATAAATTAACATTATCATCCAGATACACTTATTTTATAAACTCTACATTATTATCTTCAAAAGCCTAGGTGAAAAATTTAAATTACAATCTAATTTTTCATTTAATCAAACTTCCCAAGAACTTTATAAATTCTGAATTAGTTAACTAGATAATATTATAAACATAGACATTTACTACTAAGGATAAAGAGAGATTTTTCTTATTTTAAAGACTAAAACCGAAATTGTTTTAGAATAATAATTTCATCAACATATTATCAATCTTCTTAATATTTAAAAAGCAGATAAAATTGAGAAATAAATATAAACTGGATAAAGGATTATATTTTTATTAAAAATTAGAAAATATACTAAATTTTAAATTAATTATATTCATATAAATTTAATTTTGTTGATCATATTTTATATATAATTTTTTATAATGCAAATTCCAACAATTAATTAGAAAATTTTGAAATTCCAACTCATAATACTAAAATTAATAACTTATTCTAAAACCTTTTTTTATCATCATCTTTTTCAAAAAATAAGTATGTATTTCAAATAACTATGTTGGGTATTACTTATTGTGTTTAAAGAATATTTTATTTTTAAAATATAATTGTGTATTAATATTAACTTTATATTTTGAATGAATATTTTATAATGAGGAAGATTTTGATATATTGTATTTTTGAATCATATCTGAGTAATACATGAAATCTAATAAAAAAATAAATTATTTCCCCCTATTTGATAATTAGAAATAAAATCAATATCTACAAAAAATAAAGAGAATATGAATGCCTGAAATAATATGACTAATCTTAACTTAAAAACTGTTTAATATTCAATTTAAAATCATAACAATTTCCTGAATATTATGAAATATATTTTGATACTGTATTTCAACTGGAAAACAATAACATTATAAAAAATTTATGACTTTATTTATTATTAATATCATTAATTCAACCTTTTCCGGCAAATGATGTCATGTTTGCTAATGTAGATTACAAAATTCTCAATTTTCTTTAACTGGCCACCATGTCAGTTTCTAAAATTCCATGTTTGACTATTTTCTTTGCTTAATACAATTGCAATTAATTCAAGGTTCTAAATGTTGAAAACTTTTAATTGACTTCCATATCCATTGATTACAATTAACATCCTAAATGTTATTTCCAAATAGCAATCATTGGAGTACTATTGTCACCTAAACCTAATTGATCTAAAATTTTCATTAAAGCTGCTCTTCCTTTTTACATAGCTTAAAAATAAGGATTTGTGGAGTCCAATCCTACTTCTTATTTTGCAAAATCTAAGTCACATCTTCTAACCATCAAAGCATACATGTAAAGCATGTATTTCATATGAGGATGATTATTATAATAATAGGTTGCAATTTTGTTGATCAATTCTTCTGGAACTCTATCCCAATAAGCTAATTCTGGATGAGTAAAGGAGCATCTGTCACTATTACAATAAGCTTGAACGATGGCTCTCTAACTTTTTATACTTTCGAAGGGTCTAGCAATCTCTCTACTTCCTGCAAAATTGAAAGACTCCACCATAGTTCTGACAACTTAATTTTTCACATACAAGTCATTGTATTCCTTAGCCTTTTACATAGCTCTTTAAGGAACTCCAATTACATTATCTACTTTATACATATCATTTACCTAATTCAAACAAAAAATCCATATATTCATAAGTAGGTTCGAAATCATCACTATAATTAATATTGGCTAATCCATTTAACAAAAAAGTGAAAGCAACATCTTCACTGGCAAATTCTGATGTAAAATAGTGACCTTAAATTGTTCTTATATGTCTTTTTCGTTGTGCTCTAGTTAAAGCTTAATATTTTGTATGGATCAAAGTATATGGTCCACCTCCTCTTTCTGGAGTAATACCTTACCCCATGTAAATGTACTTTTCTGGATTCCTTTTGTATTCTCTCATATTTCTAAGTTCAGTCAAGATTAATCCATCTCTTTATCGTGTGTCACTACTTGCAATCATAGTTATTTTAGAATCAGTATTATTTGTTGATGAAAAGGTTTCTAACAAAGGTACTATTTCTACATTCTAAACCTTATATAGATTGATAAGATCATTCACTAAATCATATTATGATTAAGTTTAGAAATTAGCAATAATAACCATATCTGCTGCTTATCCATTGGCATTTAAAAGAGAAATTTCTTTGAATATATTTTTAATCATCGGTTTGATTTTATTAATCTTAAATATATATAAGAATTAATACATCTGTTAAATCTTCACCAGCTAATCTAATTTGTCCCAATACTCCTGTTAATCTGAAAATTGAATAAAGTTTTTTCAATTTTAATGCTATAAAATAGTCTTTAGAATCATCATTCTTTGTCAGAATGTGATCAAGAATTTGATTAATTTAATCCTCTATTTTTTTGATATTAAAGATAGGCATTTATTAATAGAATTCTTCAAGGGATATCTCTTTCTTAACTCTAAATTTATCACTTAAATCCCTTAAGCTTTTACTATATTCTAAAGCTTATTAATATAATTCTAAAATTTGTTTAAAATCTTCATTCTCGTCTAATTTTGCTTCAGAAATGTATTCTTTATATTATTATAAGGTTAAGTCAATTGTCAAACCATGTGTATAAGTCATAATACCAATTTCCTAAGAAATATATATAAAATGCTTACCATTCCTGGATGATTATCGAAATCAAATGTCAACCAAGTACCTGGAGTCTCAAAATATTCTTCAGGGTGCTACAAACCTAATTCATAAGCTTGAGCTACAGCCTTAATAAGATTAGGTAAATATTAGGTATGATAAATTAATGATTCCTCAATGTAAGACACTTTCTATAATATATAAAGGTGGATGATTACATTAAAAACTCGTTATTTATTGGATTAAATAAATAACTTAGCAGCATACTTAAGATACTTGTAATCATTTTATTCAATCCCTTGTAGCATTCTACTTATAGCAATCAACTAAGTCAATGAATTTGGTTAAGTTGGATGAGAAGTAA